CGGTGAATTTTGGCGAGCCTCATAGGATAAAAGCACAGTTCGGGAGTTCTTTCTCCTCTTAGCCTGAGCAGCAGGACAGAAGGGCTGAGCGCTGACGAGTGTTTTACATCGGCGTTATCGGGTGTTTTTTGCTGTGATATTAAAGTCCACGAAACCTGATTCTGTATTATCTATTATCTCTGGGGGAGCTGCCACTCCTCCCTTTCCTGATCTCTCTTTATTCCTTAAACCGCCAGTACACGGCCCCAGCCTTGCTGAAAATGCAACTCGTCGCCTACAAAATTTTCAGAGGCTCGAGCTACCAGACCACAATGGCTGTCAGCGCTAGCCAAAAAAAGAAAGAAAGTGCGCAGCTGGCGCAGTTCGGCAAAGCTTGGAGCGCAGAAAGGCGCCTCCAGGCCCGGGTGTACTGGTGGTTTAAGCCATCAGTACATGGCCCCAGCCTTGCAATTTTTTTTTTTTTTTTTTTTTTTTTTTTTTTTTTTTTTTTTTTGGACCATTTCTCAATTTATGCATGTCATCCTTGTGTAGGGGCCATGCAAATCTTCTCTGTACTCTTCCAATTTTAACGGATGTCCGAAAGGACTGCCTTGCAAGATTTATTTCGTCGCCTACTCCTAACATTTAGGAGGCTCGGGGCCACCGGACCGCAATAATGGCTGGAGGCCCCAGCCAAAAAAGGAAAAAGTGCGCAGCTGGCGCAGTTTGGCAAAGCTCGGCGCGCAGTGCGGTGCCTCCGCGCCCGGGTGTACTTGTGATTTAAGTATCTACCCATGTTTATTTTCGCTTATACACCAGTACACCCGGGCCTAATAGAATTGAAAGTTGAAGCGCAAATTACAACGTAGTCTGGGGGCTATTATCGCAGAAGAACCACATTGTAGCTGCATACACCCATGCAACAGACCTCCTCTCCGCTCAGTCAGGACGGAGCACATGATCCACTCCATAATTTATCCTACATACCTCTTCGACCTATCTCCGCCTTCGAACCACTGAGGCGAAAAACTCGCCGTGCTCGTAAAAACGTTTTTCCTACGAATGGAGGAGCTCAGAAACGGATTCTGTAAACTCTGCGTGGGCGGGCCTGAGCAAACCAGAAACGAAAAATAACAAAAAATTAGCATATGTCATTAAGTCCAAAAATTCTTTCTAATTCCAACCAAAAGTGCTAAGGGGCTTCAAAACCCTGTTAAGGGGCTACGTTCCGAGTTGCCATGGATATCCGTCCGGAAGGGGGGGTTAAGAGGGCCCAAAAGGATAACAGGACGCAAAATCGAATAGCACAATAGGATCGAAGGAATACAGCGGACGCTGTGTGAACAAGTCACCGGTCATCAGGTCGCAGATTGGCGACGCCGAATGTATGCATTCATTACATCTCCTGGACTGAGATCAGTCTTTGGATCTGCCAAGATCGCTGCAGCACAGCGCTTTCTTCTTCCCCTTCGTGCTCACCTCCTGTACACTCTCCATATTTTTTCTCATTCAGCTCTCGTAACTGGAACCCGCCTTCGTCCCACTGCTCGTAACTGGAACCCGCCTTCGTCCCACTGCTCGTAACTGGAACCCGCCTTCGTCCCACTGCTCATAACTGGAACTCGACCTAAAAGACTGAATAAAAAAGTAACAATGTTTAGAAAGAAGGTCCAAGAATTCAACCGAAATGAAATGACTGAATGAATACAAGCTGTAGCTAATACCCAAGGCATCAAAGATGCATTTTCTACGGGATCCCAAAACCACCAACCGCCACTGCTCGTAACTGGAACCCGCCTTCGTCCCACTGCTCGTAACTGGAACCCGCCTTCATCCCACTGCTCGTAACTGGGACCCGCCTTCGTCCCACTTCTCGAGATGCCTGCTTAGTTCTAGCCTCATAGTTCCTATCGACTTGAGTCCAAAGGCTAGAAGACTATCCTCAGCCCTCAGGGATGTTTGCTGGAGCCCTCCATTTCCAGAGCTCTTGATCTATGGGCCTGGCTGCAGTACTCATCAAATGTGCAAAATGAGAACGAATCTTCCGCTAGAACATGGAAAGATACACCGCCATATTTTTTTCATTTTTTTTGTCTTTTTCTGTGGTGGCGAAACATGCGGGTTTGATACTTACTGTTCAATCTTTTTGATTCGAACTTCGAAGTGATTTATCAATTTTGTGTCTACCTACGCCTGATTTCCTGCTGCCGGTTTGCTGCAGCTACCGGTAGCTGCTGCGAATCTGATCCAATCATTCCGCGAAGTCTAGCCCTTGACTCTAACCTCTTTTTTTTTTTCTTTTTTTTTTCTTTTTTTCTTTTTTCTTTGTTGTTGTTGTTGTTGTTATCTCTAACCTTTCTTAGTTTGAATGGCACCTGTTTTTTGTTTCTGATATAGTACTGTGATTGCCGCTGATTGGTTGAATTCGCCGCAGCTGACTTTGTTGAAGTTTTTTCAACAAGGGTGATGGCAGTGAGATATCTGTAATGAAACCTGCAGATTCTCAGTGGACTGTGCATTAGGCTGAGGGCGAAGCCTGGGGCTTGTCTCGGTCTGGTGGCGTCGTAGGTTAGATTCGTGATTTTGTGTTTTCTGTGTTTTGTTGTCTGTGCTGTTGCTGTGTTTTTTTTTAACGCATTGAGGTGCGATGACGTGCTGATTTCTGTTGCCGTGACTGACGGTGAGGTTGTACCCTGTTGCGTGTGCCTGTTGTGTTTTGCAGCGTGCTTTGTTGTGTGTGCGTGCAGAGTTTTGGGTCACACTGAGGCCTATATGCTGTTCTAAAAATAGACCGGTTCCGGCCCTGCGATTGCAGGCCCAGTCTTCCCCGACGTCATAGAGGCCCTAAGGGCCTACAGCGGGTAGAGCCCGTAGCTGGGAAGGGCCTAGAGGCCCTAAGTCGAAACGGTACCGGTAGAGCAGTTTCGGTCCAGTAGGTCTAGGGTAGAATCTAGAAATAGGACAGGCCGAGTAGGTTTAGGACTTTTGGCAGTTCATTTCTCGCGAAGCAGCGTTGGAGAAGCCAAGAAAGTTGGTGGCGGTGCCGGTCTGCAGGCGGTATCCTGAGACGCACCGTAACAGCAGCCATAGCCGGCCTCATCTGAGCCTGCCATAGCTGGGGCATCCTCAGCGCATCTACCTTGGGGGTATCTGCACATGGCCGGGCTACGTTGAGGCTCTACACTGAGTGGTTCGTGGGTGGTGGCAGCCATAGCTGCCTGTTCCTTCGTCAGAGTCGTCCATCGGCACTGAAGACTTCATCGCAGGACCTGTTCTTCATCAGGGTGGTTGGCGCTGGCCTCTGGGAGGCTGTTCTGATGCAGCGCTACTAACTGGGTGTAGGATAGAGAGTGGGGTGTGAGTTCTGAGTGTGGCGAGATACTGGAACAAACTCTGTTACGATAATTGTGTGAGTGGCTCATCATCAGTGACAGTTTCAATTATGATCTTCGCAGGTTCTTTCTTGTGATTGGTTGTTGGGAGTAGTGTCAGAGAGTGAGAAACACTGTGTATCTTCTCCCCTGCTGTGCATAATTGTCTTCCGCTGTTTATCTTCACCTGTGTGCAGTGTGGACTCTGTCTCCTCTCTCCCCTTCTCTTATGCATGTATGGGCATGTGTGAGATTGTCTGTGTGTGAGTGGCGAGAAAATTCGCCAGACAACCAAGTTCATAACATATCAATCATATCATCATTGAACTAACCAGCCCCAGGTAATTCAGAATTATGATATTATCTCTTTCAAACTTTTTTGAAGTTCTTTCACAAAGAGTGATGGCATTGAGATATCAATCATATCACATCTGATTGCATCTGGATTCAAACTTGGGATCTGTATTTCAATAGTTCACGGGTGTACCTGCAGTTAACTGAGTTTTCTTTTTTAAGTTATAACTGTGATATACTGTGATTTCAACAGTTCACTGGTGCACTGGTGATTTCGCCAGTACTTCCTTACGTCGTGCCCGTTAACAAGCCACGGATTTTAGGAAATGCACGGGCCACAACAGGACCGCCCAAATTCATCTGACTAGAAAACGTTTCTAGTAACTTTCTACTCTTTTAAAATTTAAAGTCTTTCTTTTTTCCTTTTTTCTTTTTTCTTTTTTTCCACCGTGACGGCCTATAGCTGGGCCAAGTACTGGTGGTTTAATTGAGTTTTTTTTTTTTTTTTTTTAATTAGAATTTAGAACTGTTAGATTCGAACTTGCGATCTGTATTCCAACAGTTCACTGGCATACCCGCAGTTAACTGAGTTTTTTTTTTCAAGTTCGAACTGTTATAGATCATCAGAGTCCCTCCAAGCCTCGTTTTTCATACCCGGATTTCTGCTGCGAGCCAAAGAAAAGCAATCCAAGGCGGGCGCATGCATATACTATTTTATTTTGGCCTGGCGCCGCCAGCCTTTTTCACGCCACTACCGTCTTCACCCGAATAGAATGCCTGGTCATTCTTGCTGTACTTGGGGCAACTTTCCGTCTAGATACAGAGTCAAAATTACCAGGCGTTCTATATGCGTGAAGACGGTAGGCTGAGCTCCCTGTTTCACGAGGCCTTAATCGTCCTGTCGGAGACAAAACAGCTCAGAAGCGGATGGGAGGTCCAAGGGGAGAGAGGTTCAGGCTTTCAACAAGCTTCCACTTTTGAAAAAGTTTGAACACTTGAGGAGAAATGCTACTCGCTGCTTTTTCTTTTTTTTTTTTTTTGCAAAATGCACTTGAAAATTTGTAGATTTTAAGATTTTAAGATTTAATAATTCGTGGAAAACGAAAAAAAAAATAAAAAAAAATTGGATGCACATTACAGTGATTACACACCTTTGAGAGCCCATGCAGATCAACTGTGAGGCTATTCTTTTTGACACGCGGCCTCTGCCCGCCGTGCTTTCTGAGCTTTCTCCCTTTGCGCGCAAGCAGCTCTGCAAACCCTTCAAACTTCAGCAGCTTTGAAAATGGAGGAGACGCCTCCCTCCGGGGATCCTTGGGTGGCTGGAGCGCAATGGCGTCGCGAGCGACGTGCGCAGTGTTGTCGACCCCTTCTATTGCTTTCTCTGCCCACTCAGTCATGAGGCTTTGCAGAACAGCATCGTTCGCGGCATACCTGTTCCACCAACAAGAAATGGAGGTGATGGTAAGTTGAAAAAAAAAAAAAAAAAAAAAAGCTGGCTTTGCAAGGGTAGGACCCCACAGGATGGCGGCAAACAGTTTCGGAAGTCTTCTACTTCCAGCCGACTGCCCACCGCCAACGGAGATGATGAAACAGAGGGACCCCACCGCCACCGCGAAATGTTGCTTTTGCTTCGGAGGCGGTCGCCCAAAAAGGAAATTCCGGGGCAGTTTTCCTTTTTGGGAAAGGTCGGGGCCTGGAAGGTCATTCCAGGTCCCTTGCCATTGGTTGTAATGGAAGGGCTGTGACTTCCGTCCGCATGTGCCGGAGTACGCACCCGGGAGGTAGGTAAACGGACCGACTTTTGGGAAACGGGAATTCAGGGCCACGTAGGAATAAGGGGGCCGCGGACCAAGTGGAAACGGTCGGCCGACAACTTCTGCAGCGGCAAAATCCGTATGTGGGGTCTCGGAAGTTGCCTCCGAACTTCCGAAACCGTTTGCCGCCGTCCTGTGGGGTCCTACCCGAAGTCAGGATCATAAGATCTTGTTTTGGTAATTAAGAAAAAAAGGGAAAAAAGAAAAGGGAAAAAAGAAAAGGAAAAAAAAAGGAAAAGACTTTAAAGTTTAAACTTTAAAGAAGGAAAAAAAGAGAAGCAAATGCTGCACGAAGTTCTACCAATAAATCTGGTCCATGACATCCGTCAAAATTGGAATGGTGCAGCGTACATAAGCATGCCCCCTGGGCAAGTATGATGACACACATGAATCGAGAAATGGTCCAAAAGACCCCTCACGAAGATACTTCTCTTGCTCTTTGGGAATCACAAATATCGAGGAGTCAAGGAGAGTGGAAAGGCTTCCTGAGAAGAAGAAGGGGAAAAAAAAGAAAGAAAGAAAGAAAGAAAGATACGAATCTGGAGAGTTGATCAGGATAATATGAGTTAAAAGTTGTTAAACAATTTCAACTTAAAAATCTCCTACCTGTTTTCGAAAAGAGAAAAGACGGAAAAAAAAAGGGAAAATGTGCCCACGTATAAGGAACCGCACTGTCGCTTCCCAGAACGAAAGGAGCCTGGACCATAAGAACCTGTTTCCTTTTTTGGAAATTTAAAATTTTCCCTTTTTGGTTTTAACTTTCTGCTTTCTAAACAAAAAAAAAAAAACACAAAAAAACTTTCTACTTCTCACAGAGGCAGGCAGATACGTCGTACGTACCCATAATCCCGCATCTCCTCGTAGAGAGCGAGAGCTCGCTGAACCTCGTGAGGCTCTCTGCATGTATGTTGTGTCCGCAAAATCGTGTTGAATGTTACCTGTTTTGGAATGCACGAACAGCAAAACAAGAAGAGTGCACGCCAACTTAACCATGGTACGACGATGAAGTTTGATGAAGCAGTTATGGCTGGTCATCATCGGAGTCAGCCAACTTGATGTCGCAGGTGTGGTAGGTTATCTGTTTTGGAATTCGAACAGCAAAACAAGACGAGTGCATGCCAACTTAACCATGGTTTGACGAGCCGCCACCTTGATGTCAAAGGTGTGGCAGGTTACCTGCTTCGGAATGCACGAACAGCAAAGCAAGAAGAGTGCATGCCAACTTAACCATGGTTTGACGATCGAGTTTGATGAGCCGATATGGCACGGAAGTCAGAAGAACCACTTTGTGTTTCCCAACTCTTTTTGATCCAACTCAAGTTAATCAATCAAATGACACGGAACTGGCGCCGCTGCCACTTTCGTGGCCTTGGACATGTAAGAGTCATACGAAAGTTTGAAAGTTAACGAAACCCAATTGTCTCGGTATGTCTTACCAAATTAGTAGAGTACTCAGTGGATCCAATCATCCAATGTCTCTTCTTGCGTGGACTAACTAAAGTCAGGCCTTTGGCTTCCACACACTTCGTGTTCTGAGGTTGCCTGGAAGTCCTCGGGGGGGAAACTGGTCACTTGATCCAGTGAAACCCTAAACCAAATAAATAGGTAAGAGATTCAAGAGAACTCAAAGCAAGTAGAGTTAGCGAGCCGTGTAATGTAATGGGCCATTAACTATTTCGCACATGGGTTCGGGTTCGGAGGGCACTTCAGTAAGTCTGTGCAAATCAGATGAGCCCTATGAGGCCCCTATCCTATCCCTTTTGATGATGTCAGAAGCCGTTTTGATATACGATTTTATCATTTTACCTTGCGTCTATTTTATTTCTTATTTTTCGGGCAACCGTTCGATTCACCCACTGTATGAACTGTTCATTTGTACGATCAATATGTCAAATAATTAAAATAAATGAGACGTTGTAGCTGTATTACAAGCTTATGTTTTATTACTATTCTAATATGTATTTACTATTTACCTAAATGACGCTTTAAATCTCCATTAACTCACTTTTCTCCCACTTCATAGCCTCTGGTGATGCAGCCGGCGCGCGAAGCGTTCATCTTTCCCACCCACCCCCCAGGGTGGGGTGGTGTCGGCTCCATTCTTTTCTTGGCCAGGCAGCGAGCGAAGGAAGCTGACGAGCAGAAAAAGGGATCTGAACCCGCTCTCGCTCAACGGATCAAAGGTACAACGCCCCGGGATAACAACCTGACGACTCCCAAGAGCTCATATCGACGGAGTCGTTTGCTCCTATCGACGGAGTCGTTTGGCACCTCACCTCATCATCTTGGGGTACTTACACAGTAATGTGTAGGCACAAAGCTGGATATATGCTGGGAACTCTGCTGAGTATCCGCCCAAACCAACTTGATGTTGACAGATTGAGTTTGATGAGCAGATATGGCTGGTCAACAGAGTCAGCCAACTTCACGTCGACGGTGTGGTGCGGACACGTTGAGCTGAGAGGGAAATAGATAAGGACAAGGACAAAATAACCCAGCAAAGAAAACTGGCAAAGGCGACCTGTTTCCTAAGCCGACTGCTGGACTTGTTGGTAGCTTGGCACGCGTTCGCAGCATTTGTTTTGACACCAAATCTGTGTGTTTTAAGCCATAACATCTATGTATATTAGAGGGTGCCGGGGTGGGAGAGGGATTGGAGGAGAAGATGCATTCATTCCACTGATGGGAGAACAGTGAATGGATTCGTCAAAGCTTCTGCATCCCTTGCTTTTGACATCAACAAAAGTCCACAGCCTGAAAACACCTGAAAACACCTGAAAACACCTCGCAGCTTAGAACCGCACACAGACTGCGCAAGACAGTGGTAGAACCGTTAAACGAGCATAGCGAAAGCAGACTTTCCCATTCCTTCCTCCCTCCCCTGTTTTGACGAACGATCTGATTGACAAAGCACACAGTGAACACAACAGCTTGCCAAGAACGACCTGCGAAGCGAGTGGGACGGGCGGCAAGGCAGCGGCTGAGCGCAGACAAGGCAGTCCACACATCCAACATGGAGCAACGCGGCACATCACCTACTCACATCACGGTTGAACCCCACGGACTGTTGGTTCCCACCACCCAACGAACCAGGAAGTCACCCCGATGAACATCCGTCATCACTTGTAGGGTAGACAGACATCCCGAACTGAGCGCCCCCCCCCCCTTAAGAGTGTTGCAGACACTCCAAATGAGGCTGTGTCGTTGTGTTGCCTTACAGTTCACGGCTCTGCTGCCTTGCCGCCCATTTGCAGGCCGTGCCTTCCGTGTCCTTTGCTGGCGTGCCTTGTAGTTCGGTTGCCTTGTTGGTGTTGTCGTGTGCTTCACTGCATGGTTGTCGTGCTGCTCGTCCCCTCGCCCTGTCGTTCCTTGCAGGGTGGCTGCCTTGTTGGTGTTGCCTTGTGCTTCACTGCGTGGTTGTCGTGCTCAGGCTGCGCGTCCACTTGTCATGCCCTTCCTTGCAGTCGTCTTTGACTCTTTGGCATTGAGCGTCCACTTGAACCCTCGACAATCAGCGTGTTGCCTCTGCAGTGTTGCCGTGTGCTTACCTGGGTTGCTCCATTTGGGGACAGTCTGCCTTCAACAAGGGTCAAAGGGTTCATGATCCAAACCATCAAATACATAGATTCCGCAGATTGTCGAGGGTTCAGCCTCCTGATGAGTCGGTGCAACTCCGACGAAACAATCTTTCGTCATCAGCTCTTTTTTTTTCGCTCGTTCTTTTTTTGGGACTTCCTTGTTTTTGGGACTTGTATTTTTTCTTGGTTTGGCTGCTTTGTATGCTTGTGTCTTCTGCCCTCCCTGTTGTGCTTTGCCTTGTTGGTTGTCTTGTGCTGTCTTCTTTTTGGTTCACTGCTTGATGTTGTTTGTCTGCTCCCCCCCCACCTCCCCCGTGCCCTCCAGCCTATGTGTGTTGCTGTTGTTTGTCGTCCTATGCCTTGTCGCTTCTAGCCTAAGTCTTGTCATCGAGTCTATGGCTTACAGAAAATGTTTACGAGGCATCCGGTGAGAAAGAATTGGGCATTGTTGTTGTGTCCTTGGGTTGGTTCCTGATGAGTCAATGGCATGGAGTACACGTCACGTGTACCGGAGCGACAAACGATGTGCTTTTGCACACACTCTTACACACACACACACACACACACACACACACACACACACACACACACACACACACAGCGGACAGACCCCTCAGTGTTTTTTTGGTGTAGGTCTCCAGAACACCGTCTTGCATCAGTCTTTTGTAATTTTGAAAGATGAAAAGCAATACTTGAAGTTGAAGTTGATCACTCAGGGGAGAGAAAGGGGAAGAGAAACTCACAATATTTGGTTTGATGCCTGCTTTCTTCATCTTTTCATAGTACCAGAACGCCTTATCTACATTTGTAGCACGCAAGCATGCCTGTCCAATGAAAACCGGATTTAGGATTCAGAATCAGGGGGAGCCGATAAACCGTGACCTTGTAGAGTACATGTGACATTTGTTGCAAAAGTCTTTTGCAAGTCATAAACCAAAGTGGGCTCACCAAACTACTTTTGCAACAGAAATGCTCTCACTGTTTCACATTACTTGGAAGCACGATTATGATTCATTATCTAATATTAAACGATTTTTAAATTTCAAATCTCATTTCCCATTCTGGCCTCACACACTTCGGGAATCTTTGGCAATTTCCAAGCCCTCCCTCTTTTCACTCTTTCCCTCAGACACACAACTTGGGCCCGGATACACGCCCATTTGCTTCCCAGCCCATGAACCCCGGGCAGGGTTCCAGGCAGGCCCAACGCCAGTGTTGCATACCCTGACAGTCGGCGCCCCTTGACTGGTCGGATGCCGACAAGCCAACTGGTCGGCTGGTCGGGACCGGTAGGCACCTACCGGTCGGGGGTCATCGGCACCCCGCGTTGCTTTTTTTTTTTTTTTTTGGGTCCAGAACCCCCAATAACCACTATACCAAGCATACACCCCCTCAGAACCCCCAAACTGCCCCCCAACACCCTCATAACCCCCCCAATACCCCCTATACCAACCCTATACCCCCTAAAGAGAAATCAAGAACTTCTGGTTTTGACTTTTGGTTAACGATCACATCAGAGTTCCTCACAGAATCGAAGTAAAAAAAAGAAAACAACAGATGAAGAAGAAGAAGAAGAAGAAGAAGAAGAAGAAGAAGAAGAAGAAGAAGAAGAAGAAGAAGAAGAAGTCAAGAGAGTTGGTTTGTGTAAATGCTGTACGTGGCTGTTGTGCCAAGCAGTATTGGCCGCTCACTTTTAAAGTAGAATTGAATGCTTGCCAGATTATTCAGCGAAACACAAAGACCGGAGAGTCGGAGACAGAACTGATGACCCCAAAAGAAGAAGAAGAAGAAGAAGAAGAAGAAGAAGAAGAAGGAGGAGGAGGAGGAGGAGGAGGAGAACTAAAGAAGAAGAAGGATAACTAAAGACGAAGAAGAAGAAGAAGAAGAAGAAGAAGAAGAAGAAGGAAAACTAAAGAAGAAGAAGAAGAAGAAGAAGAAAAAGGAAGAAGAAGAACCGGCTGAGAAAGTCGGATTGTCCCTCCTGGCTGGTTGTGGAAATTGTCTTTCCAGCCTGCCCCAGGTGTCACGAGCTTGGGTGCTGCTCCCCGCACAGAGCAGAGAGATAGGTAGGCATAGACCCATAACCTTAGGATAGCTTAGTTCTGGTTAGTACATTTAAAGCACCAGTACACGGCTACCTGGGCCGCGGGCCTGACACATCGAATTTTGGAGGCATGAAACGAAAAAGGGACTGCCGATGCTATTTATCAACGGCAGGCCCTACGTTTGACGTTTCGGCCTTCTTGCGGCGACAAGTTTCCAACAGCAAGGCTGGGGCCGTGTGCTAGCGGTTTCAGGCTGGTTCTCTGTCCCAGGTAGGATAGTCGTCAGCTGGTAGACTTAGGGAGTAGTATAGTTGGCCTCTCCTTCCGTAGTCTGTGACCCTCAAAAACAGCTGGTAGACTTAGGGAGTAGTATGGTTGGCCTCCCCTTCCGTAGTCTGTGACCCTCAAAAAAAAACGAAGTACATAGCTCGGGGTAGGTAGTGTACGATAAAAAGAATATTGAGAAAACTCAGAGAAGAATATAGAGCAGTAAAAATGCAACTCTCCCCATATGAGGGGAAGGCAGCTTGCATTTTTTTATTTTTTTTCTTCGTCTTTTTTTATAGAAAAAAAAAACCGTTTCTCTTTTTTCAACAAAGAAGAAGAAGAAGAAGAAGAAGAAGAAGAAGGACGAGGAGGACGAGGAGGCTTCTTCTTCTTCTTCTTCTTCTTCTTCTTCTTCTTCTTCTTCTTCTTCTTCTCCTCCTCTTAATGACAATGACGATGGTGATAGTGACGTCAACAATGGCGAGGACGCTGATGATGACGACAACTATGGTGATCACGGTAATGGTCATGACAGTGTCGATGATGATCAACGTCGGTCGATCGACGTCAATTAACACGTGGATGCTTCTCTCCCTTCTTTGTCTTCCTGATGGAAAGATGCATCTTTTGTGTCCATTAACACGTCAATTAACGGTCATGACAATGTCGATGATGATCAACGTCAATTAACACGTGGATGCTTCTCTGAGTTCTCTCCCATCTTTAACTTCCTGATGGAAAGATGCATACATTTTGTTTGTTAGTAAATTTTCTTACCTTTATTAGAGAAGTAAAGGTGACGACATCTTCATCACAACCGTTCATCTTCATCTCCTCAAGAGCCTGCAGTCGAACGCACCATAAACATACGATAGGCTTATACCAATCAGGGAAAATTCACAAAGTACTAGAATCGTTGTAGGCCAGCTCTGCAGCTGAATGGAATGGTTACACATATGTAGCCATTGATAGACAGGTCATGAGTTTCAATGCGGATCAAATCCGTTGGATAGAAAAATTCCAGGGGCTTGGTAAGCCCCTTTTTCAGGAGAAAAAATGGAGAGGGAAATCAAGGAAAAAAACTAAAATGATAGTAAATCTGAATCAGTATTTGAATTTTGAAAATTGAATGCAGTCCGGTAATTGCGAGGACTGTTACTTGGCACTTGCCAACAACGACCATTTCGTCAAAATGGACATTTTTTTATTTTTTGAACGAAATTAAAACCGAGTTTTTTTGCCGAAAACTCGTCAAAGTTTGTTGTTCCTGAGGGTCCAGCTCTGTACATGGACCTAGCTTGAGACCAGGCACCTCCAGGCAGGACTGCCTGGAGGTGCCTGGTCTCAAGCTAGGTCCATGTACAGCCAGGGGGTCAGGAACAACAAATTTTGACGAGTTTTCGGCAAAAAAACTCAGTTTCAATTTCGTTCAAAAAATAAAAGATGTCCAATTTGACGAAATGGCAGTTCAACCCCCTAAGCATAATAAAACACCGAATTTGACCGAAACATGCTGATCACGTGCCAATGGTAGTAGTTGGGTGGATTATCAATCATGTATATTTTTAATAATGTTAACAATTTTATTTGTTTATTTGTGCATAGTACTGCATACCAATGATTGCAACGAGCCCGACAATTCAGAGAAGCTTCCACAAGAGTGAACTGAACATGCAAGTAGTCTCAATGCACTCAAACTGGAACCAATCATTGACAATCGCAAGGCAGAAAAAGTCGTGAAGCACTTGTCCTTTTCGGGACATCCGCTAAAATTGGAATGATGCAGAGAGTGAATATTAGCATGGCCCCTGTGCAAGGATGGCGCACATATTACAGTATCTGTAAGTGGGACGCTGGACTCGTTTTCCAGCAGGGTCCCATTGTCCTGTTTTTTTTTTCTGATTGATTCTGTAAATGGGATGGTGGGCCCGTTTTCCAGCAGGTGATGCTTCCCACCAATAGATGGAGGCCCCCCCCCTCGGTGCTAGTGGTGTCTGCCTTCACCAGCACCACTAGCACAGGAGAAAAAAAAAAAAAAAAAAAAAGGAAAAAAGAAAAAGTCATGAAGCAATCAATGATGTCCCAGAATAACCAGTGAGTAACCAGAAGAGAGACAGAGGTAGAGAAGCAGTAGAGAGAAGGAGGATAGTTTCATTAAACCACCAGGACTTTTTGACCCTTCCCGTGCTGAGCCTCGAAACACACTGCGTGTCCGGAAGGGAAAAAAACGAATCAGCACGTGTCTTCTTTTGGCTGACGTTGCCAGCCATTTTGCTCTGATAGCCCAACCTCCAAAACTTGCAGCGTGCATGCGGCCACGTTGGAGAAACATGGCTGGGGAAACGGTTTTTTCTTTTCTTTTCTTTTCTTTTTTGAGTGGCTGGGGAAACGTACTGATACAATTTCGACGGCTCTTCAGTTCCCTCATCACCTCCAAGACCTTCTCCCACCATCTCCTGGCACCTCAGCGCGCAATCTCTCTCCATGATTGACACTAATGAAGTCCTCCTCCAGGTGCCGGATAGGTGCGCCCAGCCTCTAGCATCAAGCTTGGCTATGGAGGTTGGTGCCTGCCTCCCTTCAGCCTCCTGATGTGAACCACAGCTTCAGCATCACCAGCGCCTTCAGGTAAGCCAAGATAACCTTCTCTCTCTCTCTCTCTCTCTCTCTCTCTCTCTCTCTCTCTCTCTTTTGCTTGTTTTTACTTGTGGCATTTTGCAGGGGCATGATTGAGTTCCTGATGCAAGAAGGTCACCTGTTCTCAACCATCGATGATGACCATCATAGAGCAACCAACA